TATGTTACGCTACTCTCACATATACTTACAGAATTTTACAACTGGTAGCTCTTTCAAAAAATGAATAAATAATGAAAGGAAAGGCAACAGAAGGGAGCAAAGTAACAGAAATACACTGGTTTTTTAATAATCCACCTGAGGTAAACTAAAAGGATTGGTACACATTTATTTGTACAGAACAATTTATTTTGCCGTTGTGAAATGAAAGAAGGACGTTTCATGACTTTAGTACAAACAATAACAGGTAAAGTAGGGTCTTTGGTCAGATACAGTATGTGACCAGCACCTTAGTGGTCACCGCCTCAGATGTTTCTTGTAACATTTAAAATCCTTCTCTAAGGACAATGATCAACTACACTCCATCAAGCCACTCTGAATGAAAGATTTATAAGTGCTGGTTTGGAGTTTGCCAGATGCATTGAAGGATTATTAGAGCATGAGGAAAAAATATGATCCGATGTGCCAAAAACTATTTGGGATGAACTCCAAGAACTCTGCCTGATGAGCACCAAGCACTGGTGTTCATTAAGCTCACTAATGCTATCCCTACAGTGAAGCATGGTTATAGCATCATAATGCTAAAAGAGCGTTCCTCACCATTAGGGACACGGAGACTGCTCAGAATTAAAAAGAATATGAACAAACCAAAACACAGTAACTGTTCATCTTTTAAGAGATCATACTCATGTGGATTTGACACAAGTCCGAATATACTTGAGTGGACTTGAAACCCACAGAATATCTATAGAAAAACCTTGAGATGGCATCCATTCTTTGTGATGAATCATGAAAGGTTTTTCCAAATAAAAGCTCTACTGGCTGCCAATGCACTGGATGAAGGGTTGGAATGCTTTTGCAAAGAAAGATTCTTGTTTTTAAAATGACAATTTCTCAAAAGCATGTTTTCGTTTGCTCATTGTCAGTTCTACATACTTCTAATGTTACGTTGCCAAAATGTAAGCAAACGTAGACAAAAAACGGGTCTCAAATTAGTACGTTAGCCCTGACCTCTAGCTGAACTTTCATTACGGATCCATGTTAGCATTTTTCACTTGTAAAATAGCAGAGAAGTCACACTATACAACTCTACTGGTTACTTAAATAAACTTAAAAAAAGAAAAGAAAAGAAAAAGAAATAAATCATCAACTCATACTTTTTCAGCAGCACTTAAACCTTTGAACTTGACTTACCAATTTCCTTAGAGAAATCATTTCATAAAATGACAGACTGATTAAAAAGAATCACCAGCACAAACAAAAAAAGCACACTTGTTACTATTTTCAGCATGTGGAACTGTAATACATGGGTAGTCGCAGCATCTGTCATATCACTGTATGTAATTTCGTCAACCACTGTAAAGACATAAAGGCTTAGCAGCGTGATTTATGGCTGGTCAGTTAGAGAAGATTCAAAGCTAAATTGGTTGTTATTACACTTTCCTCTCTCCCCTTTAGGCAGAACAGGACAACGGCCACCCCCTGCCAGCTTTCGCCAGCCTTCAAATCGAAGTTCTGGATGAAAACAACCAGGCACCCTACTTCCTGCAGCCTAGTTACCATGGCTACATCAGTGAGGCATCGCCAGTGGGAACCACCATAGCGACCAGCGCCAGCCTATCTGTACCACTGGCCATAATAGCACTGGATAATGATGTGGAGGAGGTATGATGAACATGTACAGAGCTGTGATTGATTACAAAAACAAAAACTAAATATTGTTGTTACTAATTAATCAAATTCTAACAGAGTGAAGAATGAAATGTTCTTGTAAAACCAGAACGACACAGCTGTTTTAAAATGGTTTGGATTTTTTAGTATGTGTAAAAACTCTTACAACATTTTGATCTGTTGAATCTACTTCTTTTATAGCTGGCACTCAATAAGACGCCTGTAGGTATCAGCTCGGTGCTTTCCTTCTATCTTGACCTTCAGAGTTCTGAGTGGTGTTAACAAGGACTGTGCTTCTAACAACAGACACATGACTCACTTATGTTAATGCTCATTGGTGTTGTGATGTTAAAGTTTACTATACTAGATGAAAACAGACCATTAGCCTTTTACTTCCTGTTGTATTAGAGATCATTTACCTCTGTAGGCCTGTCAAGCTCTTTGCTATCCTACTGATTTACTTGTTGTAAATAATACAACCGCTGAAAGGCACATCCTTGATAACAGGCAGACAAAAGGCCTGCTATCTAATTGCCTACTTTTCACACAGGGGATTGAAAATAACAGCTTAAGCTAGCAGATATTTTATTTTATTTTTACAATTTTGTTTTATCAGGTGCTAGCTTACATATTAAGCTAATATTGCTGATTGAAAACACTCTCTGTTCTTCGCTCTATCTCATGTTTTCAGCAACATTGTTAAATAACAAAAAAGAGAGGGAAACTGAGTGACAGGTTAGCCAGACATGATTAGCAGCTTACATAGGACCACAAAAGCACATATTTTAATAACTTACGACTAGAGTTGTATGTCTCGAGACCGGTCTTGGTCTCGAGACCGGTCTTGAGACCACTTTTACGTGGTCTTGGTCTTGTCTTGATCTCGACGGACTTTGGTCTCGGTCTTATCTTGGTCTCGCTGTCTCGGTCTTGCTGTCTCAGATCAACATAGTGGTCGGGAGATTTGGAGTCAACAGTATCCATGACACACAGTGTAACGTTCAATAATGTATCATGCGCAAAAGCTTTAGCTCTAAGAGTCGTGCTTAGAGAGTGCTTTGTAGTGAATCAGAATAGTCGACTACCATTGAGCGAGAGCCGCAGCTCCTCAATTAATTTCCTTTCACTGCTCAGCTGTCACACAGCGACACACAGTGGCTTAGCCATGCTCAAATCCCTCCACATTGTGGATTATAATCTTCAGTTTGATGTTACAATTTTATCTATATATAAAGTATAACTGAAACCAGTTACATATTTCCCATTCTTTAGACAGTTTTTGGAGGTGATCGCTGTTTTGTCAGATGACTTTGGGGCCAGTCAGTACCATCATGTCAGCCCTCAAAAGCACACAAAAGTTAGTCTTTTTTGTCCCGGTCTTGGTCTCGGTCTTGGTCTCGCCTCAACTTGGTCTCGGTCTTGGTCTCGTCTCGACTTGGTCTTGTCTTGGTCTCGATACCCTCTGGTCTTGGTCTTGGTCTTGTCTTGTCTCGATACCCTCTGGTCTTGGTCTTGTCTTGGTCTCGGATTAGGCGGTCTTGACTACAAGTCTACTTACAACTAATACATCTTTTTTCAGACAAAAGGAAAGGTGATTTAAGGGTCTTTGAATATGGGATGGTTGTTGGTACCAAACAGGCTGATCTGTATATTTTAGAAACTGTTAACTGACAATTCCCCACGCTACTATCTCTAGAGTTTACAGAGAATGTTCCAAAAAACAGTAAAAAATCCAGTGAGCAGCAGTTCTCTGAGCAAGTATACTTTGTTGATGCCAGAGATTAGAGGGGAATGGCCGGACTGCTTTAAGTTGATAGAAAAGCAACAAAAAATCAGGTAACCACTCTTTACAACCAAGGTCTGCAGAAGAGCATCTCTTGAACTTGAAGCAGAGGACCACTTCTGTCAGCTAAGAACAGGAAACTAAGGGTACAATTCATATGGGTGAATTCTAATCACCAAAATTGGAAAATGGAAGATTGGAAAAACATTGCCAGGTGTGCTGCAATGTTGAGATTGTAGGATTAGAATTTTGATTAAGCAACATTGTAGCATGTATCCATCCTGCCTTAGATCAGCAGTTCAGGAAAGATATGGGGGTATATAATGATGTGGTGGTATATTTTCATGGCACATCCCACTGTGCATCATTTAAATGCCACAGCCTACCTGAGGATTGTTACAGACCATGTCTAGCCCTTCATGACCCAGTGACCAATCTTGTGATGCCTGCTTCCAACAGTTTAACTCGTCATATCAAACAGCTCAACTTGGTGAATGGTTTTTTGAACATGGCAATGAGCTCGCCGTATTCAAATGGCCTTTACAGTCGTCGGATCTCAACCCAGTAGAGCACGAGAGAATGTGAATGATTCTAACATGTCAATATGCACTGAACTCTCAAAGAAATGTTTCCAGCACAAAGTAGTAAGGAAGTCCTAAAAGGAAAAATAGATTTTGGCACTGTACTAGCAAGTTGTACTAATAAAGTGTTGGTGAGTGTATATTACCTTCAGATGCCTTGCTGCTGGCGGGGCTATGTAGAACATATCGCAAAATCTAGATCTTGACAGGTCTACCAAAGCTATGACTAAACAATCAGGGCATGGGTCTATCTTCTGGTCAGCTGTTAGAAGCACTTTGTATCTCTTTACCTTACTAATATAAAATCCTGCTCTCATGTAAATAAACCAGCTCTTGCCTAGAAACAAAATTAAACCATCATGTAAACAAAGCTAGAAGCATGGTGACAGTATTTAATCATACCATACAGAAATGAGGGATTGGTCTATTCAAGTGTCCATTTTCGCCGCCCTCTTTCAAGCTCTGCCGAATCTCGACTTTGTGCCTTGCTTGCAGTGTGTGAAGTGCCCTATCTAATTTCCCTCTGAATCTGGATAGTAAAACCATTTCCCTCTTAAATTGCCTCTCGGTAATGTAAGATATTTACAGTGCTGCAACATTGTTATCGCCGATGCATTCCCAGGAGCTTAGTTTGTTTAAGATGTAGCATAGGCATTTTGACAAAAACAAGCTTTGGTTCGCTGCTTTCTAAAAGACCCCAACAGCTTGGAATGGGCTTAGAGAGGATAATGTGTGCATTTGTGTGTGTTCCCGGGACTGTGTATGTGTGTGTCAAGTGATATACATTGAGTTATTTTTAATATTGCTAACCCTGGCCTTTCCTCCAGCATTAAGCACCAACAATGATGATTAGTCCTAATTGCTTTTATGTGACATCCATCACTTTTATTTATATGTGTGCGCATACAAATGCAAGTATCTGTGTGCGCCTGTAACTGTGCTACTGTGTGTACGTGCATGCTTATTTATGACTCAATATCCACACCGGCTACATCGACAGCATTATCAGCTCCCCCCCACCCCACCCCACCCCACCCTACCCTGCTGAGCCAGCCTTATCTGGAATGAGAGCTCCCCTCTCTCTCTCTCTCTCCCTCATGCGCACATACACACACAAACAGACACACACACACACAGAAGAGATGACTGTGTAGGTAATGTCAGAGGAGGGCTTGGATGAGGATTGCCTCTCCATCACTGAGTATAGCACCCAGACACACACCGATTGAGCCCTCTTCTTAGAAATTGTTATGTCAAGAAAACACAAGGGATGTTTTTCATTCATATTCTTAACCATCTCTTGTCCAAGCACTTCTTTGTTCACAGCTGTTTTGCTTATGAAGCGTGTGGATTCACTGTGTTTTGCCACTGATATATTCAGCTTTGTAATGTTTAAATATAATTATTTCAGAGAAACACAGTTTGAAAGCTGGCTCTTGCCTACTTTTGCCCATCAATTATCATCTTGGCCAGAAACTCTGTGTATTTTTTTTTAACCAATCCAGTGTAGCCACTTCACTACAGGTTTGCATGTATAGTAATTAATGTAGATCATAGTGAGACATGAGGGAACGGTATCTGAGTGCAAGCGATCCCCCAGCAGAGGATTTAAGGGTAAAAACAAAAAGTTAAATGTTGTAATGTTGTTATGTCTCTCTTCAACAGACACGGGATCCGCAGCTTCAATTCTCACTGGACAGCTATTCTCATGTTTTCTCTGTATCTGCTACTGGAATCAAAAGATACCTCACTCTGGTGCAGCCTGTCGACAGAGAGACACAAGACTCCTACACATTCACGGTACTCTATGGGCTTGATGTCTGTGTGCACTACACAAAGTGTTTGCATGTGAGGGGAAAAGCGATAGATAAGTGTCTGAATGCATTTGAATAACTCCCCTTCAAAGTCAGATAAAAGCAGGGATCTTGGGAAAAACAAATAAAAAAACCTCACAAAAAGAAGTGAAAAATGGAAATAAAATGACACCAGAGGAATACGCAGAAAAATAAAAATATGCTTGGGTTTCTTAACCTATGCTTGAGCCTGAATTTAAGCCATTTTAGCAGTAAGGCGAGAGAAGCGAGATAAAGTGAGGAGTGGAGAAAATGCAGAGGATGTGAGTACAGGTGAAGCACACACACAAAAAAAGCAGATTAGAAAGAAGAGGGCAGAGGGTTACAGAGAACACAAACAACACACCGACTGTGGAGGGAGGCGTATAGAGAGGCCTGAAGTAAGAAAATCATGAGAAGGTGAAGGAAAAGGGCAAACATGGAAGGAATTTCTTCAACCTTCATATGTTTTTAAAAGTTGATTTGATTTTCTGTCCTAACAGTGCTTCTAAAAAATGAGTTTTAAATGACAGTATTAATTATTATACTGTCACTAGTAATTAATGCCTTTGTTGCTTACTGTAGAAATGAATGCAGCAAACAAGACTAATTACAGTGATTACAGTCCTTCTGTGTCCACATCTTTCCCTATTTTTTCTGTCTACCTGGTGCGTTTTCTTCATTTTCCCCTCCTTGTTTTTTTTTTTTTTTAATTTATCAGTGGAATCTAATCCAGCAGCGTCTTCATTGGTAGGGCGCATGTAAGCTGCCCAATGTCAAGCAGAGTATCAAAATGTATCTCAGTATATGATGTACTGCATTGTTACTTCACACAGCAGCTGTTATCTGACAAGCTCAGGCTGGTAACTCTGGCAGTGTGTGTTTGTGTGTGTGTGTGTGTGTGTGTGTGCACGTGTGGGACTGTATGCGGCTCCATGTGTCCTTGAGTGTGTATTCAGCAATTTGGGAGTTAAAGATGGAAAAAGCAGAAGGCCTGGTGTATTGATTTAAAGGCAGAGGTGTACAGTAATCATCATGAAAGCCTTGGAGGAGAAATTAAACTCAAGGCAGAGAGAGATATGAGAAATGGTGGGTGATTTTCATTTGAAGGAGTGAATCAGCTTCTTGGCAGATGAGCTTGTGGAGAAGATTGGTATCAGCGAAGAAACTTCTTTCCTGCCGATATTCGCTTTGAATGATTTCTAAAACATGGCTGAAATGCACATTTTCGCTTGAATTTTTCTGCTACTGACTCATTTATGGGCGAGTGGAGGGACATTGGGGAAAAAAAGATGAAACCAGGCACGGTCATAAACAAAATTTGTCATGGATGTGAAGCGCTTTAATTGACTTTTGAATGTTTTGAACATCTCAGAGCATGAACTAAAGGACAGGGGAGACTAAAAACATGCTTGTGACATTAAAGTTGATTTAAAAACAAACAACATACTTAACGTGATTAATTTTATCTAAGTTAATCGAGCTCCTAAGACTTGAACGACAATCAGTTTTCGACATTTCTCTCATGTCGAGTTGAGCTTTTTTCGTGTTTGTACCTATGAAGCCACAAAAACTGATGTTTTAAAGTGGCAGGGTGCAAAACACAATAATAAAGAACAGGCTCTACTTAGAGGAGCTCAGCAGTTTGCTTTCAGAAAAACATTACTGCTCACTTGATAGTAAGCAAAAGCCAGCCAGCTTCACCTTTATTGTACAGTATCCTTTCAGTCTTCTTTATACGAGGTTGACTAAGCATAACTCTCACTGTTAATGCTATTTCTTATTTATATGCATTTTTAAATAAATGTATGCATTATAAATGGCGATAGTTACCGGTAGTACTCTTGCGTGTAGGTTAAATCAGAGACAGCCAGCACTGATTAAAGAGTTTCCACAGTTTCCATTATTTTCCTTTCTGTACACAGATTTTGTAATTCTTTAATGTCCCTTCTTTTGGTAAACACTGTGAAGCATCTTGTAACTACACTCTCTTTATTGGGTACATCTCTTTGCTTGTTAATGCATATTTCTAATCAGACAGCATCCGAATGGAATAGAATAGAAATGAAAATTGAGTATTTTGCAAACTTCTGTTAAATGCTAAATTTTGAAGCACAGTGTCTACAGCAGAAGAAGACCACTCCAGGTGTCACTCCTTTCAGTTAGGGACACTTAGGGAAACTGAGGCTACAACTCATCCAACTTGGCTGAGGGTATATGGCATAAACAGCATGGATCCATCCTGCCTTGTATCAACGGTTCACGCTGGTGGGGGCGGTGTAGTAGTGTGGGAGATATATATTTTTTCCCCAGCAGAATTTTGGACCCAATAGCACCAACTGAGCGTAGTTTAAACACCTGAGTTTCGTTGCTGATCACGTCCATCCCTCTATGACCACAGTGTACCAATTTTTTAACGTATATTCTGTGTCACAAAGCTCAGATGATTTCAAACTGGTTTCTTGAACATGATAATGAGTTCACTGTGCCCTCCACAGTCACCCGTTTTCAATGCAATAGAGCACCTTTGGGTTGTGGTGGAACCCAAAGATCTGGAGCAACCGTGTGATGCTATCACCTCAATGACCAAAGTCTATGCTTAATATTTCCAACACCTTGGTGATTCTGTGCAATGAATTGTACTTAAGACAAAAAAGGGGGTCCAACTCAGTATTTCAAGATAAAACTAATGAAGTAACGTCATTTAAAAATAACGTTATTATTATTCTTGTTATCAAAAGAATCCTACACCTTAATTTTTTTTAAGAGAAATACAAAGTTAAGGAAACTCAAGATGTCAAGCACAGATTCAGTGCATAGTCCACCCGCCTTCTTATCAGCAGGCCTCTCAAAATCAAGACTGTGTTTTTTTTAAAAGAAAGAACACTCTGGCTCTTTGCTTTGTTAACTGTTTCTTTTTCTGCCTTTGTCTCAGCTTGTAGCATCAGACGGTGTCCAGGAGAGCACTGCAGTTACCGTGGCCATAACAGTGTTGGATGCTAATGACAACACTCCAACCTTTCCTAACGTTTCCTATAATGTGAACCTGTTTATCGACATGATGCCTGGAGAAGCCGTGTTACAGGTACACACTGTCAAACACATACAGGTTAATAACACATCTAGTCTGTGGCAGCTTTAGCAGCATGATTCGTTAAAGCTTTTCTTGGAGCATGTTGTGAGTGTTTGGACGTGAATCACATTTGTGTGTGTGTGTGTGTGTGTGTGTGTGTGTGTGTGTGTGTGTGTGTGTGTGTGTGTGTGTGTGTGTGTGTGTGTGTGTGGGTGTGTATGCGTCTTTTCCCAGCTGTCAGCATTTGACTCTGATGCAGGTCAAAACGGTCTCATCACGTATCGGATTTTGGCTGGTCACCAAGGACACTTTGTCATAGGCAACAGGTAAATTGATGAGTGGCATTGTTTTTGTTTTATTTACTTTTTAGCATTGAGGGAATATGCTTCTTTGCTATTTTGTTGCAATTTTAAAGACTGAAATCTCTAGCAGTAACCATTAATCGCTCAGCTAAACATAAAGGCTCTAAAAAGGTGAAACCGCTCGCCCGCACCAATCTATGCGGAAATAAAAAAAATATGTATAGGCCTAACAATGACAATGAGTCACTTGGGATTTATTGTGGCCTTAAGGTTGCCAGCAAACCAACACAGCATTGCAGTGGATAGAACTCCTGCTTAAGATGTTGCTTGGTATAAGTGCTTTAGACATTGGATCGAGAATACAAATAAATGTAGTAGTTAAATTGTCAGGCTTTTGCAAACTATGCATGTTAGAAATAATAGCATAATGGAAGTTATGTTGGTGATTTTCTTGAATAGCTCAGGTAAAGTTAGAAAATCCACTATGAAAGTGTGATAAGTATTTATAATCAGATAAATGTAACTATTTCCACAGCAGTGGGATCATCACTGTGGCACCAGGCGTGCAGCTAAGTGTTGGGCAGAGCTATGCGTTGACCGTAGAAGCCATGGACAACGGGCCTGAACCCCACCGAAGGTAGGGGTTTCTCACTTTGTGATTCGCCGGGTATTTTCTTTCTGTCTGGTGATGAAACTCAAAAGGTCATCAGATTTCTTGAGCGTCCACACTCATCGTCAGACACGGCACATCTCTGTCTGTCGCTTCCCACTTTGTTACCCCTCTCCTGTCACTTTTTCTGTTCGCCATTTTCAGACAAGTTGTTTTCATTCTTAGAAATATATATATCTTAAATTATAGTTTTAAATCGGAATAGAGCTGAAAAGGAGTCTGAAACAAGAAAATGGATAGTGTGAGTGTGAGGGGGGGGAAGAAACAATGCAGAATAAAAGGGTGCCTCAAGACACCCTCTTCTTGAGAGCAGAGAGAAAATTATACTGTCTCTGACTCCAAAAAGGAACGATTTTAACAAATACTGACATACGTGGCATCTGAAATACCACAGAAAGAGGTAGAAAGCAAATGTAGTGCACTATGGTCTGTTGCCTTCGAGGGGTACGGACAGACTTGGGAACACGGCTTTTTAAATATTTTCTTCTATCCTGTTTCCTGCTCTGCATCTCTACATCATTAATTGAATCAGTAAGGACCATAACTTTAAGCAAATCACAATTCCCTGCCGTTCTCCAACCAGCTTTATTAAATGGAAAAGGCAGCTGCTCCTAATACATTTTAAACTCTTTGTAAGTATTGATTTGCGTAGCTATAGTCTGGCAGAGATGTGAAATTTTAGTTTCAAGCAGTTACCGTACAATATTTGAGAACAGAAGCAAATCCAACCATTGAACCACTCACCCACTGGAACACACATTGATGTAGCAGCTGCACTCTCGGAGAGTTTGATTTTTTTGAGTGTTTTGTGCCGCTCCATGCTGCAACTTGACGCAAGAAACAAAAGAGACTCACTGGGAGCAAGCCATGAGCTTTTGTGTATAACAGTTACGCTTAGACTTTTTGATGTACGTCATCCTTCTTTTTGTGTTCCACTTAGTTTTGTTTTTTTGTTTGTTTTCTTGTCTTGTTGTATATCATCAGATAGAGGAACACCATAAAGAAGACTGCACAAAAGCATCAGAGTAATTGGCATCAATGAAAACAAAAGTCACACTCGCTGATCTACATCACCACACAGCTTTCTGATACTCGATGGGTGTTGTTCTTTGTATTCTGCACTTGGGAATAGCGCAGCAAAAGGACAAATTAACACTGTGTGTCCTTGTAGAAAGGACAAACAAGCCGAGTCCCTGCTCTACAAATGAGAAGCACAGAACAAAAGCAACACTTGGGTGCAAACATGGGGAAACATTTAATCAAGACTCTTTTTTTTTTCCTTTACACACCGCTTGAGGAAAAAGAACAGGGCAATACCCAGGTGATTATCACTTGTTAGGCAGGCTGCTATAACAGGAAGTCAGTCTTTTTAAATTGATGTAAGATGAGCAGGTCAGTGGGAGATATATCTGAATTTCTGATTATAAAATACATTTGAGGATGTGATTGAATACTTGGACATTTAATTTGAACTGTCAGTGGGCACAGGTGGAGACTTCTGCTCTCTTTAGAAACCTGACAAAAATGCACCTGTATTCAATCAGCTCCCCTGAGACGTGGTTAAAATGCTGGAAGGTGTAAAATGAACATTTTTGCATATGGTAAGGTCTGTGTATCAGCAGTGTGCAGCATCAGTAGTGTAGTGTCACTCCAAATAAAGTATCTGCACCTAAATTTCATTCAGATATTCCCACAGCTCTGACAGAATAACGCACTGTGCTCATGCACTATTATGTATGCAAACGTATGTGCTGGTGCTTGGGCAAGATTTGAGAATACAGTGCAGCTCAGCTCACTTATGATGTATAAGGTAAGAGCTTCATTAATAAATAAATAATGTATTTTGATAGTTGACATTTTGATTAGAGGTAATATTGTACATGTAGTTTGGGAAATGAACACTCAAATGCAAATATAATATTAAACTGTAGCTTGTGAATTTTTAACTGAAGATTTCAACTGTTGTGACTATGGGAAACCTGCATCTCAGACAGATCAATTGATAAATTTCATATAAATGGCAAAAAATGTATTGTGCCACATGTTTAAATACACACAGTTCTCTCATTTTGTCTCACACTGAAGGTACAGTATCTAATAAACTCTGAAGAAAGACTTCCAAAACAGTTGGAAGCAAGAAATTAACTTTAGCTCGCGTCTTATTAGCCTGACCTGTCACAGACATGTTACATAATTGTAACGCAACCTTTGCTTGGTTTTAGCGTAAAGGAATTATTTAAGAATACATTCCTAAATTGCAGTTGGCCGTTTTGTGATTTTGGTTGCTATGCATTGGAGAAATTGCGCTGATTGGATGAAGTAACTTAATTTTTACTTAGACAATAAATCATAGAGGTTACTGCCATAACACTTATTCACAATGTTAAATTTACCAGACAGAAACATCAGAAATATCCAGACCATATGGGTTACCTCTGGATATCAGACACTGTTGTGCCCTTGAGCTTTGTGTTTTACTATTAACGTCAAACAGTAGTTACATTTCTGATTGCATTTTGGGAAGCTAATGTAAATGTAAATAATTTAAAAAATAAAACGCGCAATGCCTTTCATCTCAAGCTTCCAAAGTTCAGGTACTTTATAAAGCATTAAAATTTTTTGCATTTTCTGACCTGCTTACTGCCCTCACATTTACTCTGAATTAACCTACCAACTCTAATACATTAATTCAGCAAGACTGATAGTATCTAATGTGTAGAGCAAGAATAATGTATGGCTTGCATGCCACATTGCTTTTCTGGAGCAATATTTCTCAGTCATTCCAAAACTAGAATCCTTTTTTATCCTTCTAGCCATGAAGCTGCCAAATCAATATAGAATGTGAACTTCTGCAGATTGAGGTGGTTCCAGTGATTGGCATGGAGATTGTCCCCAAATTTCCCCAGACCCCCGTTTATCTCAGCTGAAAATGTAACCTGACAAATCAATATCTCTCTGTGCTACAGATTTGTTAAAACTATAAATCTGGACTCAGAATGAGCTGTGTCCTCATTATGATGGCAGCTAACAAAAACAAAAGAGAGCATTTTTTAAAGTATCGCGTTAGGCGTCTGGAACTTTTAATAATGAAATAAATCACCACAAGAGAGAGAGAAGATAACACAGATGAAGATGTTAGATAAAAAGTGAATTTGCAAAAAAGAGATAATTTTTACTGTACCTTACGTGTCATGTAGTGAATTATGAAAGGGAGCACAAGTGATGTGACTTATCAACTACAGCTAGCAAGCTTAGTTAACAAGGTGCATTGACTGTATATGTGCATCACCCAGACATCAATATTTGCTAATTAGTGCTAAGTAAGATGAAAAAAAGAATACTAAAAATTCACTCACTGAAACTGGAGCAGAGACCTTTGAATGTGATGTGTATGCGGTTTTTTACATTTAGCTGATAAATTAATTCGCATCAAAAGGCACCAATGCCATATACACAATCAAAAGGTCCAGTTCAGTAATTTTAATTAGCTGAGGTGAAAAAAGCCAACAGCTATAACCACCAGTATTAATTGCCTTTTAGTCAAAGATTATCCTTGGCTTTTAGCAATTCAGTCAGGTAAGCATTTAAAAATTCAGCCCCATGCAGTTAGCATGAAAAGGGAGGTCAAGACTATATCTACCAGGCTGCAATGTTTTTTAATGCTCTTAACTTTTCTATGGAGACGTTTGAAGACAGCTTTAAGAAACAAGAGTTTTTGACACTTCTGCTTCAAGGTTTTCCAGCTCTGGAGGTTACCTGTTTAAGTCAAGATTAATACTATACTAGGACATACACCAAGAAGATCGTCAGTTTCAGATCATCAAACAATTTTCATGTTAGACAAAGATAACCAGAGAAAATATGAAATGCACTTCATTAATTAAAAAAAAAAGATTATCCAAACCTGCCTAACCTAATAACTGGAACTACAATCAAGCCATATGCAATAACTGCTAATGAGTCTCTCACATCACTGGATCACAGGAATTGTAGCCCAGTCTTCTTTGCCGAATTATTTTAATTCAACCACATTGGATGATTTTCATGAAAGGCCTGTTTAAGGTCAGCATCTCAATCTGATTTAAGTCTGGGCATTGACTAGGGCACTCCAAAAACTTTCAATTTTTGAGAGCAGAATTCACAATTCCATCAATTCCAACAAGTTATCCAGGGCCTGAATCTGCAAAGCAGCCTGTTTGTTCTGTAGATATCATTCTGGGGTCTTTTGTGACCTCCTGAGTGGGTTGTTAATGTGATTTGAGGGAATTTTTAAGGTAGGTTCATCACTGTTCCAAGTTTTCTCCGTTTGTAGATAATGGCACGCCTTTGGGTTATCCCCTTCTAGAATGATAGATGTCAATGACTTTGTTTATCAGCTGTTTATCAGCTTGGGGTTACTTTTTTACAAAGAGTCAGGTAGGTTTCCATAATTTGTCAGTATTTATAAATAAAATGATTTAAAAACAACATTTTGTATTTACTCGGGTTGTCTTTTTCTAATATTGAAATTAGTTTGATGATCTGAAATTCATCATCATGGTACTGTATAGGTGCAAACATGAATGCATTGGGTATTGAAGCTTTGGAAAACTTTGAGTCTTAATTACATTTCATGTGCCACACATTCTCATTGAGCAGTGGAAAGGGTTAGGGAGAGGTTTGTGGTTTGTATTGCTGGCTTGCATTGAAAATAACAAGTAGTCAGTCCATTCTACATTGTCTACAGGAACCTGATGCTAATTTGATCATACTTGTGAACAAATGTGTTGAGGGTAGCCTAAATGTTAAACAGGAGTCCCTGTTTTTGCTTAGAACTGCCATTTAATGCCAAAAACATTAAATATATAGCTTCATTGAATAATGATTTGTTGGACAACCAAACTTTAAAAGTCTAAACAGGTTATTTGTGTTTCCCATCGATCTGAATGGTGACTCGAAGCTGAAGCGAGGTCAGTCGCTTATAAATTTGTGTGCCGACCATTGTTCTTGAGATTAAGCATCTGCCTTCTCTTTTAATTTGTGTCAAAGAACATCAGGTAGGTGATTAAAAGAACAGATTGTGGTTTTGTGTTTGTGTGCCTGCAAGGAGAAGCATTCATATACAACCATATCTGTGACCGAATTCTAGGATGTTAAACTTGAAGGCGAAATAAGTCTCAGTTACAGTATAAACCATGTCTGAATCATCTGCAGTCAATCGGTTTTCATCAATAATGCCTGAATTGTGCTAATAAAATGCTGGCTCTCAGTCTCTCTGGTGGCTTACATTTTCCAGCCTTCATGTAGTTCTTTATTTATTTATAGTTGTGAGTGTAAACAGATTTTGTGGGCTATTGTTTAGACCTGGGTTTCTTTGGCGTTTTCAATCGATGATCCAGTTTGAGTGGAGTTAATCTCTCGCTTCTCCCCTTGCTGAAACTCAGCACTCTCACCAAGTAGAAACACAAGCTAAATCCCTGCAGTTTCTTTTTCTCTTAAATTCATGATCGGTCGAGCTTGATGTTAAAAGCAGGAAATGGGTGTAATAAAGCTTTTCAAACCTGTTAATGTAGGGTTAGTATTTAAGACTGTAATTTATGAGAGTGGTGGCACTTGTTTTTGCAATTTAATCCAAACAATCTTCCGTCTGCCGCTGTGGGCCACAACACTAATAAGAAATTAATTCTAATAAAATAAAATGCGCAAAGCTTACTGACCCACTGATGGTTTGGTCAGTGCTAGCTCACGCAGTGCAGATGAAAACTATCCATTCTTAAATGGACTTCAAATAGCCGTGGTGATTTTATATAATGACCTGTGTTTGCAATAAGATGCTTTGACTATTTGCATTAGATGGCTGTCGATGTACTAAAACTTATAACACCTTGTTTAAACATTATCGTGCTTCATGCAAGTGTTTAAACAACCTACTACTTTACATTCGTCTTCAGCAAATCTGGACATACAGTAAACTAATTTCTAATGAAACCATGAAAAAACGATACAAATAAAACAGAAAAGTACATCTCACATTGTTATTTTATGGGTGATGGGTAATATATAAGAAGAAAGGAATTTTGTCCCTGCACTGCAGTCATTACTATAGTCTCCCTAAGCTCTTGCGGATCTGAATATCTTAAGAATCACTGCAAAATCAACTAAATTATCTATAATCGTGTAGCACATCCCAGTGAGTACTGAAATACCAAAAGAATACAACAGGCTGTTTATAATGCCATAAATAAGCAGTCAATTTTAGGTCATTACAGTGACATGTTGATTTGGAATAAGTGTTATGCTGATTAAGCAAAAAAAAAGTGTGACTACATTTTACAAAATAAAGCTGTCAGACCTTAAATCTACATTTTATCACCATTTTTCATTTCTTAGACTTGTTTCTGGGAAATTTTTCTATTTTTGCTTTTAAAAACATTATTCAGGCATTATAATTTCATCATCCATTTTAATCACATTTCCACATTTAGTTTATTTAATACTGTTTACTGAATGTGTGGCTTAATTGAATTCATTTCCATCTGCTTTTTTTGGTATGTAGAATGATATAGATTCTTATATTATAGTTTTATGTCTTTTAATGCAGGGTTAGTTGAAGTTTAGTTAGGTTTAATTGAATTGGTTTACATTAGGGATGCAAAGACTGCAATTTTCGTGCCTGGTTCTGAATTCCGAGTTTTTGCTGATATAAATTTTCACCTATTTTGGTTTTCTTTCTAAGAGCATTAACTGACGGCATGAATAAACAAACTTAAAATTATTATTATTATTATTATTATTATTATTATTATTACTTTCAGTGGAATAGTGGTATTTTCATGCAAAAATTATTAAACATTATCATTTTCTTCAAACTGAGGTAAATTACAGGATTTTCTCTCAAACTGAAAATTAAGTGGTTTGGTGGTGGAAAGAGCTCCAAATAATTAAGTAAAAATTGCTGCACACCCACCTTATCTTGGCTGTATTTGGCTTGTGGTTGGTTAAAGTGAGTTCTGCATACACTTTAGCTATAGCCACTTTCCCTTTGGTAGCTTCATTAAAATACCCATGTTTAGCTAAATTTAAGTGCTTTTACAGACATGGTTTACTTTGGTGAACTCTGTGTCTTCATAGGTAAAGTCTGTGTCTTTGCCTATGTTGCTGTTTGCATGTTTTGCATGCATGAAACAGACTGTGAAGTGGACGAGCTGGTCACCAATCAGATCCAAGCATGCTAGAAAGCAGCTGGTCAATACATGGTTTTAGCTACTGTGACATCACCTATTAGTTTCTGAAGTCTCATTTTAAAACACCTCCAGTTTAGCATTTCAGCCGTTGCCTTCTAAGTTGCCAAAGAAACAGATGTGACCAAGAAGAATGAGTCTCATTAACTAATGACTTGTGATTTTGTGACATTTTACAAGATTTACAAAACAGAGTAAATCTTTTTATTCAGTATGAACAAAAATGAATAACTCAGCCCATAAAATCAACTGGAAAATGTTTAAAGAGGTCAAGACAGGAAGATAGACTTCTGCAGGACAACCATAGCTATCACCATTTGGTAGCCTTCAGGTGGAAAGCTGGTTTTTAGGCATTTCTGCATTCTACCCTGGAAGTTGTGTCTATCAGCACTGCCAGAAATACAATTTTTCATGTAGCTATAGCCAACATGCATGTAATAGCTGATTTACATTAGTCCTAATAGGCTGCTTCTTTTATAACATCATGCTACAGGGAGAAAGAAATAAACAAATGCCAATGTTAGCCACACTAAACTGATGCTAGCACCAAGTATACATGAATCCATCTGTTGCTTGGGGGACGTTGCTACTTGGTCTCTGTTGAAGAACACCTGGTGTACTTTTCTCATAGCACATTTCAGAATTAGCGTTAGCCATAGCAGCACTAGTTAGGAAAAAAACAGCAGCATGTTAGGCAGCTGGCTATATTTGGATTTAACTGAAGCAGCTACTCATGATTTGTTTGAAGGTGTGCCAAACTAGCAATTAGGCAATATGCTATTGTATTACATACTGAGACAAATAAGTACCAGAGCAAAAGCCTACAAGTCATGGATTCTGCAACTGTTGGATAGAAATTCTCACTTTTTGGCCTTTGTAAATTTGCTAGTAGTTTATATGCATTGAAAGCCTTGCAAACTAAAGCTAAAGGAGAGGTTAAAATACCTGAAGGACAAACTTCTGCACAGCATATTATACTTTATAATACTTGATAATAAAGGGCACAATAAAGAATTGTACAAAACAGCCTCTACAGTGAACACTGTGTAACTGTGTGTGTGTGTGTGTGTGTGCGTGCGTGCGTAGTGTAGAAATACTTTTATTATAATTAAAGAAGTCTTTTCTCCTAATGTAACATCACCCATGTTCTTTATAAGTGAATCATTGAAACATTCACTCGGGTTTGAACAAGTCGCAATAGAAACCTCAAACACTGCATTAGAGACCTTGTAATAAAGTACTATCCAGTTTCTTTGTCACTTACACTGTTGACTTCATGCTCTTATTGATCAAACTCGGCATGAAGTGCAAAGAAACAAACACTGGCCAGCCACTCTTAACTTAAATAATGGGCCATTCACCTTCCCTGACACTGCTTTCCCCTTAGTATCCTCTAGCTTTCCCTCCTAACATTCCTCTGCTATTTCTTTTCCCGTTATAGGATGCTTCTCTTCACACTCGCTGTCTGTCTTAGTCGCCTAACCCCCTTTCTTTTCTTTGCCTTTTCACCCTCTCTTTTTCTCTTTCTCCCTTTAGGTCATCCATTACTACGGTCTACATTGAAGTTTTGCCACCAAACAACCAGAGCCCTCCTCGTTTTCCGCGGCAACAATACAACTTGGAGATCAGTGAAGCTATGAGGACTGGGGCTACACTTCTTAATCTGCAGGTACATGCTGTCATGCCAATTATTACACAGTCACAGTACTTATTGGGCTTTTAGGATAGTGTTTAATTTACATTCAGATGCCGTGGTGCATTAGTGCTTTCCAAAGTACTAGAACTGACTGATGTATATTACATACCTAAGATGAGAAAGCACATATGTTTATGTTGGTGCCTGTCTCTGTTTACTTTTAAGGCAGTGGATCGGGAGAGGGACCCCATAACCTACAAAATCCAAAGCGGAGACATCCAGGAACATTTTGCACTACAACAAAAGTAAGTAGGCCCACAATTCCAGTTCAGCATGGGTTCAGGTCTTTACTCTCTATGTAGAAATAAAAGTTCTAGCTTGTGCTGAAGTTAATTTTGACAACATTTGAATGCATATTATAAAATAAATGTTCAAAAATGTCATAGTATGTGACAAAGTGTGCTGTCAGTATTGCATGTAGGTGCGTGATAGCTGTATCGATAGACACACTATTGAGGTTTCTCAGGAGATGTCGTGCACATGGTCACTGTTTGACTAGATTTGATACAAGAACTGGTTCCTAGGGTCAAACGTCTGTTCCCTTAACCTTTAGCAGTTGTTCTCGCAATGGATTTGGTTGCTAGTACATTACATATAGTTATTCTTGTTTTTTTTACAAACACTAACTCAGAGACCAATAGCAGTACAACTTGAAAAAGTGTAACATTGCAATCTCAAGAAATTGTTTCTAACTGGTTGGAAAATGCACATTTTCCCTAGTGAAAAGTGGTTGCCAGATGGTCACAGACCAGCCTCTCGGCCTCTGTGATTGGGTCACTTGATCTTATGAATGTCACACAACCAGTATTACTGACTAGTCAACATAACATGGTTAGTGGTCACATTTCTAACACACCTTGTTTGACATTTTCAATCTAACGTAGAAGTAAATGCAAAACCCACATCATCGAGATTTTCTTGACCTATTTCTTTACATCAAGACTTTAAGTTAAGTAAACAAAGAAAATAAATGTGAATCAAGGCTGTAATCATAATATCCATTAGAGGGGAAACATGGCCCCAATATTCAAATGCAGTCCAAATTTCTACCAATGTATTCATATAAAATGTATATTTGTTCATTTTAAGAGTTTTTCTGGGACAGGTAACCACATACTACTATTTCTGTACACTGCAGTTGTGGCTTGTCCATGTGGTGTTTTGATACTCAAGCAGAAGCCTTTGTTGAACAGGTGTGTCTAGATAATCAGCAGCAGTGCAGATTTACAGTACCACAGTAAAAATTTATTGTTTCCCTTGTAACTTCTTTTAAAAGTGAAATGCTTGTAAGCTAATCAACAGCTGGCAATATGATCCACTCACAAAACTCTAACTCAGCTCCAAGCGTTTCTTTAAACCACGTTACTCAACATCTGAACATCTGCACCACAAATGCTCTACATATATAAACTGACTTGACTTTTTGAAATTAAAAGAAGCTTTTCCCCTCCTCACACTACTCTGACATATTTTATTTTTCTTTTTTGCCCCTTTGCCCCAAATGTGAAAATGAGGCATTAAATTCCCAGAACAGAAAGGCCTTGGCTGTGTGTCAATTCCATCAGATCACAGTGTACACAGCCAATATAAAAACATAATGCATGTACAAACAGATTATTTAAACTCCGTGCCTCATGGAATATTCCTTGATGCTTATAACTTTCACATTAATTAATGCAAACTTTGAATTAAAACAAAAAATTAATTAAATATAACTCTAATCTCTATCTCTGAGAATTTGTCTGTATTCCGATTAACCCAAATTCATAAAACTGTATACGAATCAATTTGCTCGTAATCAGTAATGTAATGAGGGAATATGCTTCCTTATAAAAATTGGTCATACAGGTCTTGGACGTCACCACGGCTCTTGCAAAGACACACACATACACTCACACAAGCGCACATTCACCACATTCAAAGACACGCAGACTCTGATGGCTTTTGTTGTATTTATTCATTTATTTCTCATTATAAATGCATTTCTGAAGCTGGGGGTAAGATCCTGTCTAAATTTCTGGAGGGTTGTATTGTGAAAGAACAACCCCAGCTGGTGCAGAATTATACAGATTGGGGGGATGTGGGTGAGAATGAGTGGTTGGAAAAGAAGATAAGAGAAGAGGGCATGGAGGGGAAAATGAAGAGCAAAATGTTAGTATTAGAAATCACCAGGAAGAGAGACATGAGGAATTAAAATCACAAAATAAGTGTGAGGAAAGGAGCTGACTGCTTAGAAGATTTTCACAGTACAAATTAAAATTAAGCAAAGACTTCATTTCTGCATTCTGGGGATATTTGGTGGGTTGTTTCTGACATGGTAAAATCTTCCAATGAATGCCAGATATTTCAGTGTCTCAGCTCTGTTTTCATTATTATGGCTCCATGGGAGGAAGCGTCCAGTTGTTCTTTTTCCACTGTGCAAGTATAATATAACATATAACTTATGGTGGCGTGGGAGGGAGTGATTTTTTTTTTAACTTTTCATTTGTTTTGTGTGATTTTAGGAGTGCAGCTTAAGTGCACTTTACAAGGATAACCAAACAGGAGCCAGATGAAGAAAAAACCCCTCTGTATAGCAGAAATGTGCATACGCGTTCATTTTGTCTGATTTATAAAGCCTCATTTGTAAATCTGAATCATCAAGAACAAGTCTGATTTTCACTCTGTGCTTTAGCTGTGGATGGATATAGGCACTCCTACATATATATTTTAGGATTTGTCCATCCATTTTCACTGGGGATTGGAGCCTTTTTGCCCTACCTCAAGAGGCAGGGTATACCCTGGACATCAAACCTATGGCCAATTTACAATCACCAACTAATGCAGGTACACAAGGAAAACAGTGATTGGAAACCATGGATTTTGAAATAGTTGCTTCAAAGACAGGGACCAGATCTGAGAGCATTTGCAGGCAGTTGCAATATTCAGAGCATCTTTGGTGCAGTGATTCACTGTGATAAAATGGTGAAAACTGCAAATCTGTTGCTGTCTACACAGAAAATCACATTAAACCAGAGATCGAGGGTTGCTCAAAGTCTGGCAAATAGTTGGTTGCAAGGAGGTTGCCGTCCTATTTTTACTTTTAATAATACTATTACTGATACTACTGATAATAATAATTAATTTGAAAACATATCTAGGCTTTAGGTTTGAAGTGTATGCAAGGTCTTTATGGAATTTATATACACTGGAGATTTCTGAAGAAAATGCGTTGTTCAAATGAAAAAACTAGACTGTGTGTGAGCGAACCTACACATTTAAACATGGACTGCTTTTTATTAGAAAAAAAGCTCTACATCTTTTTCTCCGTGGGCAACTCTTCTGCGCACACAGACACACAACTTTTCCCGTGCATCAGCACATGCACACATCCTGATACACACGACAGTTCAGATGGTTTCTAACACATTTAAGAGGTTCAAATTAAAAACACTTCAGTCATTATCTAAATCGTTACTGGAAAATAAAAAAAAAAGTAAACCAAGGCTAAAATCAAACATTTTCCTGGTTTTGATTGATCAGAATATTCAGACAAGTTGCACAGAAACAGATGATCTGATCATTTTTACTCAGACATAAAAATTCAAGATGCTGGTCTTTCACCTTTCTAGTTTTGTGTTAATTCATGATAACAAAACAGGTCAAGTCATCACCCTTGACCAGTTAAGTGAGTAGGAGGCACACTCTGCATTACTTAAATACCCATATTCACAGAAAAAATACACTTGTGGGAGTTAAAGTTTTAATGCAGTTACATGTATATATATATATATCACTAGGGTTAAAGTAAAAAGTCAATCAAGACTTTTTGAATTTAAACTTTTTTTTAACTCTTTTTTTTTTTTTTACTAAACTACAGTATGCAGTTTCACCATGGTTTGCACAGTCTTTCATCATCTTTTTATTTTTCCTGTTCTTTTGCCTGAAGGGTTAACAAGAACTCTGTGTGTTTTGTTCTCTCTCCAGTTCAGGCTGTTTGGTTCTGGACAAACCTCTGGACAGGGAGACTCTGGATTATTACACCCTGGTGGTGACAGCCTCAGACGGACACCCAGAAGGAGTAAGAAACTCTTCTGTGTCATATGGATATTTACTTGTTGTTTTACTCGAGTTGTCTCAAAACCCCCAGAGGAGAAGTGAGGAGCTCCAGGAGAGAATTCTCCATCCTTCACAATGAAGCTCCACAAACAACAGATGTGGTGTTATCTGAGAAAGAGGGCTATTAGAATTGTTTTAATTACCTGTCATTTAGTCACAGTAATAATAACAAAAAGCTAAAATCTATTTATAGCAACTGACTGTAAAGAAATAAATGTCTACATTTATTGAGCCTGCAGGCTCAAAAAATGTTAATAGAATAAAATGGACTATATGCCAGGTAAGGCAGAATAATGTGTTTTAGCTGGCTGCCGATAGCTTTTTATAAATACCAAGTGTGTTAAACCACATTGTTAGTATGATTCAAACACTACGATGGTGTGTCCACACGCTGCCTATGTTTTTTCACACTGATACTCTTCAGTAACACCATCCAAAGAACTTGATGTTTTGGTGTTGGTGGAACGCTTTTGTGCTTTTCGGTTACATTGGCATCCAAAAGCCCTTCTAAGCACACAGTCCCAGTAATATCATTTCATTTCTTTCTTACTGAAAGCCAATTTACAATGATGGTGAGTATTTGAAATGCATAACAGAATGCAAAGAGCACACAGAGTCCAACTTAAAATATGCTTGAAACCAAAGAGGGCAACAGAATGCTAACTGTTTGCTGTTCCTCTTCTAGCAGGTTTTATGTTTGCTTTGTCTGACAACTTTTAAGATTATCCATCAGTTTGGTTTCACACTCAGGAGGCCTGAAGCATGAGGGATTCAATTTGAACTGCTATGTTGCAAATTCAAGTATGGTGATTGAAATTTTAATGCATTGCGAACCTTCCGCACGACACTTTTCATAGAAAGTAGGTCGTTTTTACTGAATCAAAATTTATGCTTTTTTTGACCTGTCTTTACAGCAGAAGCACTGTATACAAATAGCCTGGTAAAAAAACAACATACTGCTACTGTTCTATCACAATTTAAAATGAATATCCTCATATGTCACCCTCATTTTTCTTAGAAACAAAAATTAGGTAAAAAAAATAATCTGGTAATTCTTTGTTTTTACATTCATCGGGTCCCAATATGCTCAAATATCAAAGAGAAATTTAAAATGCATGCTGTGGAAGAGTTCGGGTCTCAGGAGGTTAAATGTAAGTTAATCAACACAGGCAATTAGTTGCACATACTGGTGATGTTTGGGTGCTAGAAACCTTACCGCTTAACATCCTTCTTTCACTGTCAGACTTTATGATCAAGCTGAGAGAAGATGAATTCTTTTTGACATTTGCATTGACCTCAAACGCTTCACTAAAACCCCCCTCACATACTTTTCTGATGATAGATAGAAGGTGTGTTTTGTTCCCGATAATCTGACTTTCTTCACACCACGAACGTTTAGCTGTGCAGACATGAGACAGAAGCCTGGCATTAACCTTGCAGTTTCTTCTTGTCTTTGTTTTCTTATTTGTTAACTATTTACAGCATTTTTCATGTACACAATTCAGCATCACTGTCATTGTCTCTGTGGAGGTATTGTGTAAAATGATTTTAAATGAAAGCTGCACCATCACCATCTGCATGATGGTCTTGCCGTTCTACGTCTTATTAAGGAAACCTGAATGAATACCCAAAAATACTGAATGGCAAAACCCGTCTTATTTAATGTTTATTTAACGACAAGAGCTATTTTGCATTTTTCTTGGTGCTTTTTTAACATTTTCTCATATTCAGTTGCTCTCTCATGAAAATCAGATGAGCCCCACTTCCTTTCTCTTGTTCCTCCCTCTCTGCTTCTCTGCTCCTCTCCACTCTGCAATCCACCAGTGTTGCAATCCCCCCCCCCCCAAACCACACACACACACACTAACACTCATTTTCACATCTTAGTGAGGATATTGAATTGATAAAATGCTTTCCTTAGCCCCTTACTTTAACCATAACCATAACCTAATTGTATCCCTGAGCCTAAAACCACATTTTGAGCCTCAAAATGCCCTCAGATTCATGAGGACTGGCATTTGGTCCCGACAAGAGACTGTTGGTCCTCAAAAGTATAGTGGCATGCCAGGTTTTGGTCCTCACAAAGATGTTTAAACAGGTACACACACACACACATCAATTAAAACAAAAGGTAAAGTTTAAGATCCCACTGTGGAGAAAATGCTGATTATAATGCTGTGACCTTTTTTATTATGGAATATGGAGGGAAACGGCAAGTGGGAGTGAGAGGTACTCATTGTGCTGGTGCTGCCCTAACGGTGGTTTTGTGCTAAAGTGATATTACACAGACTCTTGCTCATGCAACCATGTAGTTAGTCTATTGCTCTCTGGACCTTGGCAATTAGTGTATTATCTTTGTATCCCAAGGGTCCAGAAGTCAGAAAATGGATAAAAGTAGTTTGGACATTTGTCTGCTTGACACTCCATTATGTTTTGAGTGAGAGTAAAAGAGTATAGGATTGTGAATGGAGAGAGAAAGAGAGGGTATACAAGAGGGGAATGATATCAGCTACAGGGAGAAACTGAAAGGAAGACAAGGAAAGAAAGAAATGGGGAAAAAGGAGAAGAGGAGATTGGAGTGTAGTTGCCTTATACAGGCCCATTAATCAGAATCACCTGGAAGGCCTTGGGTTGTCTTCATATGGGCGCACATACACACGCACACGTTTGTGTCCTATATTATTAAATGTCCTGTTGTGAGAGTGTCAGGCTACAAAGTGCCTAATTGGCTATTTGGCCAGTGAATCCATCATGCTGCCACAGACTGAGGACCCTACAAGTTGGTGCAGTAAACCAGCTTTACTGTAAGGACGGTGTGCATTGTGGGATGCCATAGAAACTGTCAGCAAATGGCCCGCGTTAGACTGTGTCATTGCATTAGTAAATAAATCCTGTCTGGATTAGCGCTGCTACGTTAATGAATGTGAAGACTTAATTATTATGTGTATGGAACAGACAAGGTCAGACTTTTAAATTCCAAGAAAAGACGAGAAACTAACAACGTGCTCATTCTTCTCACATCCACCATCTCGTCTTCTTTTCCGCGCAGATGTAACTTTGGGGCAAGTAAAATATTTGCGAGGTGTCATACTGTCTGTGTGAAAATGCCTCCTATATGATCTGTAGTGCACACAAGTACATCTCAGGCTCCGGAAGATTCTTACCTTTATTGCACATTATAATGTCATCACGTTGCCTAGCAACCGCCTACTAATGTGATAAAATGACCCATTTGTAGCATTTACTGTATGTACCTAGAAAACCTTATAAAAGTGTCATATTATTTTATTTTCATGACAACAACATAGTTTACATCCAAAAAACCTAAATGATGTGTGACATATTATAATGCATTTATGTTGCCTTGCAATCACCTAACAGCAGACGTAAATTACAGACTGTAGCATGGACTTATACTTGCTAAAAAAATAAGTCGGCCTGTACTTGCAACATTCTGCAAATCTTTCCTATACATGTGCTACATTAATCTCTTCAGTTGCTAAGACAGATTTATTGAAGACTCAGTACTCCTTTTCAATCTACATTCAGTCAAGTTTTACTTATATGTAAAAATAGAGTAAGAAGATGCAACAAAAACCAAAAACTAGAACAACAGAGATGGCGGATTTAAAAAAGGAGTCTGAATAAAACATTCAAGGAACAGGCTATGAACAGGATATAAATATGAAAAACTATACAGAATCTGAAATAAATAACTTTACAGAAATCTGAGATATACAGCTATACAGAAATGGGAACTATGCAAGTTGTAAACAGTTGTAGGATTAAAAATTATCGAATGTACAGAATGATTATTTACACAGATGTATGCACTGTATGCGTGAATTGTAGCTGATTTATTGATATTTTTTCAGCATACTAGAGGACAGCATTACAATAAGCTTTCCTGTGTCTTATAAAAATAGTCATCAATCTATGTGTTACCTGCAATATCTAACAGTCTCCTCAAAGTACTTTTATATCTGTATTCAAAATCAGTGTTTTCACATTGTACACGTAGCCAAAACTAAAACTACTTTTGACCTTTCATTACACACTGGATTAAAACATGGGAAACACAAGGTCAGAGGCCTATACAGTAGCTCCAGCAAAGCTTTGTTTATAATGCAGCAAATGCTTTTTCATCTGATTATTACAGGCAAGTAGTATTGCTGTAAATGTGTGGGGGATTTAGCGCTTTTCTATTCAGAATGCAAAGGCACATTACTATACACTAAATGTATCTTCTGCAAAATCAAAGTCAGCAGCAAGTCAGCATCAGGTCTTTGTTGTGGGTCGGGCCAGAAGACAGCCTTTGATCTGATCTTTAATCCTTCCTCTAAGGGTTCTCTGTATACTCACTTCATGTGCGTATCCTGTTGTGCTGGAGGACACAGTCAATAAATGAAATGCTGACCCTGTTGATTCCTTCACACCTCCATCCTTCTGTACTTCATGCTGTTGTTTTGAAGGACTGTTTCAACACCAAGAGCGTCGTGCTGGGAGTTACCTGTTCTGTGCTCTGAGTCTTCTGATTACTGGCGCCATAAAATAAACCTGCTTAAAGTCTGCACTCTTCGTCCTGCTTTCATTGGTCATTAAACAGGAACACTAATCTACCACAGTTTCTCCAATTTCAGATAAATTAACAGTTCTTAATCTCGTTCTTCTCACCATCTTCCTTGCACTCTTGATTGTTAGTGAGAATTCAAGTATTCAGCTTGTACACCCTGCTGTCTTATGTTGGTTTCATTGCATCATTAGCAGCAAGTGTGAACAACTTTGCTTAATTGTGTTTAACTTCTGCCTGGTCGCTCATTACGAGCACATCACACAGCAAAAAAAAATTTCTTAGGCGCCGAGCGTGTTTAAAATTTTGAAAGTGGAACAAATAAGATCTGCAGATTGTGTGTAAGTCAGGTTCTGCTGAGTGACTGATTCAATAACTGGGTTCAACACACT